GGCCCCGACCCCGAGCCCGCGCCGGCCCCCGGCCCCAGCGCGCGCTGCCCCCGGCACGGGCGGCCGCTCGAGCTCTTCTGCCGCACCGAGGGCCTCTGCGTGTGCAGCGCGTGCACCGTGCGCGAGTGCCGCCTCCACGAGCGGGCGCTGCTGGACGCCGAGCGCCGGGAGCGGGAGGTGACGCGCCGGGGACCCCGCCCTGCTCTCTGCGCCCAAGCTGGGGCGGGCAGTTTCAGCAGTGCGGCTTGGCCATGGGAGGGAGGAACCGGTGGTCCAACCAGATGGTAGATGCCCTGAAGGAGCTAGAATTTAGCCGAGAAGGAAAGTTATGCTGGAGTGTAAGGGGACAGATGCCTGGCCTAGCAGGTGGACAGTCCTGCACTCATGAGAGTACAACCTTTTGATCCTCAGGGGACCAGACAGGTCACAGCCAAATAGGGGTGCCCTCTTCCCCCTCATGCCCAAAGCTAGGGCTGAAGATTGGCCAGGCGCTTGGAAGAACCCACCTCACACATGCACTGCCTGACAAATAGCTTTGGTGCTTTGGGTCATCACCCCTTCCCCGCAAGTCTGCCTAAGCCGGAAGTAATTGCTCCCACTTATTGACGGGGTGATGGGGGGATGCTCCGCCTACAGGAGGGACCAGAAGTCATCTTCAGCCCAAGGCTTCTGCTCTATCTGCACCACCCTGCTCCAGGTGGGGAAGGGGCTTTGTCCTGGTCTCCCTGGGACTCTGACCCAATTCTCCCAGGTCTCAGATTAAGGCTGGTGCTTTGTGTGCTGTCCCACTGCTCAGCCTCACCTGGGGTGGCTGGGGAGGGGTGCCCAGCATACTGGCTGAGGGGAGACTTCACAGCCAATCCTGGCCCCCTCTTGTCACTCATTCCCTTGTGGGCACCACAGGCCCAGCTGAGAGCGACACTGGAGGTCACCCAGCAGCAGGCCACCCAGGCTGAGAGTCAGCTGCAGGAGCTACACCAGCAAAGCAGTCAGATCCAGGTACAAGACCTGTCTGTGCCACCCACCACGTCCTCGTGCTGTAGGTGTGAGCTACCTTGGAAATGCCTCCTGGCAGCAGGAAATAAAGGGCTGAATGGGGGAAGAGACCCCAGGGCCCTGGGCTGCCCACCCTCCCACCCCTCAGCCCAGTGGGCAGCCCAGGACCCTGGCTACCCTAGGTTCCTCGTGTGCCCACCCAGAGCTCAGCCTGCGCCCTGGCCTCCGTGGTCTTTGGGAAGTTCAGCCGCCTGCTGCAGGCCCTGGAGATGCGGCAGGCTTTGGCACTGAGGGACATCGAGGTGGCCAAGACACAGGTGCTGAAGCAGGTCCGGGACGAGGAACAGCGACTGGAGGGCCACCTGGAAGCCTTGGCTCGCTGTGACCGCAGGATTCGTGACCTCCTGGAGCAGTTGGATGACCGGACCTTCCTCCAGGTACCAGGCCTGGGGGTGGCGGTGTGGGGGACCAGTATGCCTGCCCCTCAGGCCCGGGCTCACTGCAGCTGTCCCTGGGGCTCAGGAATCACAGCTCCTGGTACCCCCAGGGCCCCTCGGGCCACTGACTCTCCCTCAGTGGAATGAAGATGGGCAGCTAGGTGGCCTGAAGGAGTCACTGAGCCAGCTGTGTACCCTTCTCCTGGAAGAGGGGGGCCACCCTGGGGCACGAGCCGAAGCTGCTGACTTGGGCTCCACTGGTAAGGCTGACCCCAGCTCTCTCCCTACTCCTCTGGGCCCAGCTGTCCCTCCCACTGGGGGTGGGAATGGAGTCAGGGCCCAGCCCCCCACCAGCTCCCCTCCCCATCACTCCCCTAAAACACTGCTTTGCTCCCTAGAGGCCCCAGGTCCCCTGGCACCAGTCTTGAGCCCAGTTTGTCCACTGAGGAGGAAACTCTGGCAGAGTAAGAAGGCCCAGTGCGTGCACGTGCACTTGTGTGTGCACGTGCGTGTGAGTGTGTTGTGCGTGCGTGTAGGGATGTGTATGGCACGTGCCATGACTGTTCTGTTCAGGAAGTCTGTTCCATGTCCTTTCCTGGGTCCGGGCTCATCCCCTGCATGCCTGTTGCAGGATGCACACCTCTTCCACATGGAGCCAGTGCAGTATTTAAGGAGATTCTGGGCACACAACCTAGGATTGATCATAATTCTTCCACTTACTTTGAAGCTAGTTTATCTCTCTGAACCTCAGTTTTCTCATTTGTGAAATGAGGCTCATGGAAGGTTCCACACCTCAGAGGTTGCACAGAGGATTGGATGCTGTGATGATGTCCAGCTTGCAGTATGCCTGGCAACTGTCTAGCGATCTGTCCGTGGGACTTCAGTTGCTGTCTGTCCCCTCTGGGGACAGGATGGTGGACTTGCTCCCTTGCCCACTCACCTTCCGTCTGTCTCTGCCCAACAGATTATCGCAATCTGACCTTCGATCCTGTCAGCGCCAACCGTCACCTCTACCTGTCTCGGCAGGACCAGCAGGTGAAGCACCGTCGCCAGCCCCGGGGCCCAGATGGGCCAGGCAGCTTCGAGCTCTGGCAGGTGCAGTGTGCCCAGAGCTTCCAGGCCGGGCAGCACTACTGGGAGGTGCGTGCATCTGACCACTCAGTGACACTGGGCATCGCCTACCCGGAGCTGACGAGGCGCAGGCAGGGGCCCCACACAGACAACATCGGCCGTGGGCCCAGCTCCTGGGGGCTGTGCATTCAGGAGGACAGCGCCCAGGCCTGGCACAACGGGGAGGCCCAGCGCCTCCCGGCGGTATCAGGGCGGCTCCTGGGCGTGGACTTGGACCTGGCCTCTGGCTGCCTGACCTTCTACAGCCTGGAGCCCAAGACCCAACCCCTGCACACCTTCCACGCCTTCTTCACCCAGCCCCTCTACCCTATTTTCTGGCTCCTTGAAGGTAGGACCCTGACTCTATGCCATCAGCCCGAGGCCAAGCTCCCTCCAGGGCTCCAGGAAGAGGCCTCAGGGCTCAGCTGAAGAAGGCACAGGGTGGAGCTGGGGGTCAGGTGCCACCGTGCCTGTGTGCCCAAGCACTGCCCCAGCCCCTGGCCTGGGGACTTGAGGCCGCAGTTCTAACAGGACCAGTCATTGACCGGAAGACCAACTCAGGACCAGGCTGGGCCTGGATCCTGGGGAAGCCTCCAACCTGGAGTTCACCTTTCTAGCCTCTTTGAAGGGGACAGGGACTGAAGGAAATGAAAAGGGCGCGCATGTCTAGGCGGCTGCCTTGACCTCAGAGGCTAGTGCGGTGCCCGGGGGCTCCTGGTCCTACACGAGCGTGCATGCAGTGTGGGACACACCACAGGGTGGGACAGACAAAATCATCCACCTGTAAACCCCAGGTTGCCTTCCACCAAGACAGTGTGGAAGCAAACAACTCCCAGAGGGAATCTTGAGAAAATTGATTTTCACCTTCTCTCTCCTTGTCTTTCTCTCTTATATTCCTTAACATTTTGGTGTATTTTAGTCTTTTTTACTTTGTACATCCTTGTGATTGCATTCTATAAACAGTTGCATTTTTGCATTTTTTAAATTTATCATAAGCATTTTTCACATTGTTAAACTTTTCCCCTGAATGATTACCATGTAGACAGTCATTCTAATGATTACCAAAATTTATTTACCCATTGTTGGACATGCAAAATGTTTTGGGCTGTAAAAATATGGCTGTGATGACTGTTTTTGAGCAGGAAGCTTTGGCCACGTTTATGGCCACGTACAAACGTAGAGTACACTCTAAAGAGGGATCACTCGACAGGGAAACAGTGAGCGCTTGAAGATATTATTTTTATACGAAAGACCAAAATGAAGAACCCTCGAGTCAGGCAGCTAGTGCCCCTGGCGCCCATCACACCGGCCAAGTTAGCGTGGCAGGGTCTTGGCCCCTAGCATCCTCACCGCGTCCCCACCCAGATGTGGGATTATGTGCAGTGATTTGTGCAGGGGCCAACACGGTGCTAACTCCTGTTCTTTTGTTTTTTTGCTACTCAGAACATGATTCTGGGACGATCTCTGTACATGTTTTTCCCTGTGTTTCTGGAACTGAGGGTACTGGGTCATAGGGGGAACAGAAATTTTGTCCTTGAAGTGTTCCACATGATCTGGGTGCTGGTTCCCAGGGTATTTGCTTTATAACCTTTTATGCTGCAGTTATATGTTTTCTATACTCATGTGTAAGTATTTTGTAATAAGGTTTTTTTTTTAAAGGATGACACATGCAAAAAAACACAGACTCAAAAAAAATACCAAGTATTTTTATATTTGTAAAAAATCTATCTCCCTTCCACATTGTACCCTGGCCTGGGCAGAGGCCACGGTTGCAAACTCCACCTCAGGCCCTCACTCCTCAGCCCTGCGGCATCTGTTCAAGGGCAGGGCCAGGCAAGGAGCTTCCAATAGATTCCTAAGGTGGGGAGGCCCCCAAACAGGAAGAAGGTTCTTACACTGGGCAGCCCCGACAGCGTGACAGGAGGCAGTGGGGACCTTGCTGAACAGCTGGGTTAACAGCAGAGCTGAAAGGCCCAGCAAGGCAGGAGGTGGGGTGGGGCGGGGCTGGGCCGGCCTCATCATCGCTGGCTGCCCCAGCATACAGAGTCATACAGTTGCCCCAGCACATGTCCAACTGGCCAAGCCCATCCTCTGAAAGGGGCAGAGAGAACAGCGTCCTTCTGCTTCCATGGTGGGAGGCGTTTGGGGTCACTTACTCTATGGATTTCTCTCTTTAATGGGTCGTTAATCCTTTCCCTGTTGTTCTGTGGGAGTATTCTAGATCATGACCATTAACCTTTGTTTACATATGATGAGATGCTACTGAAATTTTGATAGAGTGCTGTGATTAATCAGTGCTTCCCATTTTTGGTGGTGGTGGTTGTTTTTTAATGACAGTACTGGGAATGGAGCCAAGTACCTCCTGCGTGCTCAGCATGCGCTCTACCAACTGAGCTATACCACCACCCTTTTAAATTTTTTGGTGGGGGAGGTAATTAGGTTTTCATTTATTTATTTATGGAAGTACTGAGGATTGAACCCAGGACCTCGTGCATGCTAAGCCTGCACTCTACCCCTGAGCTATACCCTCCCCTGATCAGTGCTTCTCAATTAGGTGCTGGGGAGAAGCATTGCCAAATCTGGAAAACTTCAGATAAATTCACTCCATCTACCTGATTATGACAGAACTCTCCACCTGCTCTCCAGGAAAAATGTATTGGTACAGAAGGAAAAAGAAGCACGGACTTCGGGGTGTAACATTTATAAAAGGGTCACATTTGATTAGCCTAGGAGTGTTTCCAGCACCTCTGCCTGCCCCCTCCTCCTCATGGCTTCTGGGCTTCTGTGAGACAATCAGGAGGGTGGGCAAACAGACAGAACAAGGGCAGGAGAGAGTTTTAAAGACAGGGGCCTCTGGAGCCAATAGAGGTGGAGGGAGTTGGATTGGAGGCCAGAGAGGGGAGGGGTAAAGAGAAGAGGCTGCTCTTGCCCAAGAAGGGAGTAGCGGGGTGACTGCAGGAAACGTGGCTTTGAGTAACACAGGGCTGGAAGCTGGGAGACAATGGAGCCAGGCCTTTGAGATTCTGACAGGAAAGGATTTGCACTGAGAGTTCCATACGCAGCCAAGCTGTCAATCACGGACGAAGCCTGAACAAAGACATTTGTAGACACTTCCGCTTCCATTCTCAGGAAGCTCCCAGAGGACGTACTTTTCAAAAATAAAGGAATAAATCAATGGAAGGAAAGGGAGGCTGGGGATCCAAGCAACAGGGAATTCAACACAGAAGAGAAGCGATCAAGAATCAATATCCCCAGAAATATGGGCCCAGACATCCAGATGTTCAAGGCTTATAAGCATGTGCTTTAGAGACCTGGAGGTAAATGCTGGAAGACACGGTTAAAGTTGAACCCGGTTGTCCCTGGGAGCACGAATCTGGAGGAGGTAGGACAGGGGACTGCCAGGTTTTTGTTATAAGCCTCATTAAATTGTTTAATTTGTAAATACTCTATATTACTTTGAAATAAATATAACTTTTAAAGAACATCATAGCATAAAGAAGTGCTACTGTGGGGACATGGCTCGGGCCCCAGTTCCTTTTTTTTTTCAGCGGTGCAAGCAGAGCTAGGCCTGGCTTACTAAATACGATCATTTGCTTGACTGCTTTTGCTTGTTTTTTGTTTATGTTTGATTTTTTCTTTTTTTTTTTTTTGGTAAGCAATACTGCAGCTAGACAGGGTCATTTATGAGGTTTAGGATTGTTTTCATTTTGCACCTTTTGGATTTAAACTCTGCCGCCTCTGCAGGACTGGCTATATGACCTCTGGCGAGCTAGGCAGCCTGTCAGAATTCCATTTCCCCTCCTTCATGACAGTCCTTGCAAGGGCCCAGCGAGATGCAGGCGTGAACATGCTCCTGCTGAACTCAACAGTGTCAATTACCCTTTCCCCTTACGAGCCAATTAATTTCAAAAATAATGAATATATTGGGCAACTTTAAAGCAACGATCATGGAAACGAAGTATCAAAATGCCACCACCCTGACAAACCACAGCTCCCTGCTTTCCTGGGGGAGCACTTCTTCCTGAACAGGCTGTGGGGTGGGGAGCAAAGCACCCCCCAGCCCGAGTGGCACGCCTCTCTCCCCTCCAGAACCAGGCGGGTCTGTGGACTCAGCAAGCCCAGGCAGCCTGGCTGCCAAGCCTCCGGGCAGGGTAGCACTGATGTCTGAGCCTCTGAACTGTTCCTGCGTCTTGGCAAACCAGCGACAGTTGTACAGTCAAGATCAAGTGCTTCTTATGGAACTCATTATCCGCCTTCCTGCCAAATTGGGCACACCCAGGCTGGTTCCCTCTGCTACTCCTCTGCCCGGAAGATCTTTTCCCACCCTGCTTTCTGCCCACCTGAGTCCTAGCAGTCTGAAAGCCCAGCTCAAATGCCACTTCCTTCATGCAGGCCTCCACGTTCTCCCTCCCCTTCCCCAAGAATCCCCCAGGAGTGGATCCCACCTCTGTTAATATTTAATAGATCCTAGTTTTCTTCTCTCCTTCCAGGAGGCTCTACATAGCATCTTTCTAGTTTTGGGGGGGGTTAGGTAGTTAGGCTTATTTGTTTACTTTTTAGAGGCAGTCCTGGCGATTGAGGCCAGGACCTTGTGCAGGCTAAGCACTCGCTATACCGCTTGAGCTGCTATACCCTCCCCTCCACAGCATCTTTCTAAATTAGACATTTTTAACCTGGGGTCTTGGGAGCTGGGGTGGAAACTCTATTTTCACTGTCCTCCAACTGAAATTTAGCATTTCTTTCTATTCCGAATGGAAAGAACACACCACAATGATATTAGCAATACCTGTGACTGGTCACCAATAGAAATTAGATTTTTCATAGTGCATTACAGAGGTGACAGAGAACTTGAAATATTTTTATAATCACCACTATTTCAAAAATACAGTAATGTTTTGGCCTCATCAGATCTTGTTACTTATTTATCCTTGTGTTAAAGAAACACATACATAACTTTACCACAGATTTTTCTTCATATTTTGTGCCTGTATTTCAGTGTTATTGGTTTCCATGGAATCCTATGCATTTTGTTTTGTGCATTTGAAAGCGTTACTGTGGAAAGGCTTCGGAGGCTATACTAGGCTTCAAGAGCCCCCTGCCCTGCACAGGGCGAAAGGCTAAGCCCAGCTCTAGGTGGGCAGACCTTCTTCACCCCTTTACTCTTTGCACTTTGGCCTCCCATCAGCAGGAGGTCTGCTTGCCTTGCGGTAGGAAGCATTGCCTCAATTATTCTATATTTTTTAATGAGCTTTTAATTTTAGAATAGTTACACACTTACAGAAAAGTTGCAAAGATGATTCAGAGTTCCCATATACCTCCCTCCCAATTTCCCCTTTTGTTACATGACTGTGGGACATTTGTCACAATTAAAGAGCCCACGATGGTACATTCTTATTCACTATATTCCATAATTTATGTGAATTTCCTTAGTTTTTTCCCTAGCATCCTTTTTTTATTTTCTTTCAGGAGCATGTCCAGAATATACATTACATTTAGCTATCATGTCTCCTCAGGTTTCTCCTGGCTGTGACAGTTTTTCAGACTTTCCTTGTTTTCGTTTGATGACCATGACAGTTTCAAGGAGTACTGGTCAGGCGCTGTGCAGTCTGTCTCGCCAACAGGATTTGTCTGAGGTTTTAATCTTAATTAGCCCAGGGTTATGGGTTTTGGGGAGAAAGATGATGTCATATCAAGGGTACTTACTGTCCACATGCTTACCACTGCTGATGTTGACCTTGCTTACCTGGCTGAGGTCAAGTTGGTCCATGCTCGTCAGGTTTCTCCTCTGTAAAGTTACTCTCCTGCTCCCTTTGGAAGAAAGTCATTAGGCACAGCCCACACTTTGGAGTGGGAAGTCACGCGCCACCTTGGAGTATTTACAAAAACTGTTCTGAATTCCTCTGGATGGGAAATTTGTCTATTCGCCCTCATTTATTTATTAATCCAGTCATTTATTTATATCAGCGTGAACTCATGGATGTTTATTTTATATTTTGGGTTGTAACCCAATGCTACATTAGTCATTTTGTTGCCAGTCTACTTTTGTTGACTTAACATTATTGAGGTATAATTTACATATAATAAAATGCACCGTTTTAAGGGCGCTGTTGGATGAGCCTTAGCAAACGCCTCCACTATAGGAACCTCCGCCCCTAGTCCAGGCACGCCACGTGAGGGTCCGTGGACCGGAACTGGATTCTTCGAACGACGGACTTGAGGATGACTTCAATTTCCCATTTCAGGTTTGGAAAAGCCCAAGTTCCCCATCGGGGGTAAATAGAGTCGCTATGGGGCAAAAACATGCGCACATCAGCAGTTATTTTTCTCTGCCATCAGCAGCTCAGCAATTTGCTAACGGTGATGCGGAGGGGTCTGGAGCGCAGAGGTGCCGGCATGACCCAGTAGGGTCGCCCAGCCCCTTCAGAACCCCTGGGAGGCCATGGGATAGGGTAATTTTGGGGGGTGGGTCATGGAGGGGTGAACTCCTTCCCAGCTCCCAGTGTGCCCCCCTCACCTTCTCTGCCCTCCGCCCCCTCTCTCTCTCCTCTTCCAGCAGCGCCCTGGCCTGACCACGCAGAACGCCAAAGGACGGGCCCAGGAGGGGCTGTCGTCCAGGAGCCCCTCAGGGTCAGGAAG